AGCAAGGCAAGAAGAGAGGGAAGGGTCTAGGCTGAGGTGCACCTAGGCCAGCAGGGCAACATGCTGTTGTCCATAGCTCTGTAATCCAGGGTGTCTCAAGTATCTGGAAACTGCCCCTGAAGCTGAGGAGGAGCATGAAAATAAACCCCCAGTGGTGGGTGCTTACCAGCCAGACACAGCGTGTGGGAATTTTTGTTCTCTGGCACTTTATCAGACCTTTCACACGGCTGCATGCCCAGGAACTTGATGATGTTACCAACAGCTTCTGTATTTACATTTAAAGAGGAAAAAAGGTTATTTCCACAGAGCCTCTGTTCACACTGCGATGCCAAGTTTCCTGTGCAGCTAATTCACCGTTGGAGACTGTGCTCCGAGCCAGATGTAGGGGTTAGCCAATCTAGCTCTAACTGGGGTGTGAAGCGGCAGGAACTTGCCAACCTTTCATCACCTCGTCCCCCATAATGAATTGTCACTGAAGCAGGCAACTTGCCCCCAAGCGGCTACTTTTCAGATGGAAAGTGGGTAGTTTCCAAGCCCTTCACTACCACTGGGGGGGGGGCGGGAGAGACTCAAATCTACTAGGTCCCAGATGCATCTTTCCCCAAACCTCTCCCACCCTGCTCCTTCAGCTGAACAGCCCTGTCTGGGTTACCGAACAGGGAGAAGGAATGGTCTCACCATCAAGTGTTTTAATTGAACTGAGCGCAAAGGTTTCCTCTTTCTCAAAGTCGTCTCCCACTTCCTCCCAGGCAGCTGCGAAGTTGGGCTTTAGGACCTTCTGAATATGGTCGGACACGGTTACCTCCAGGTCTTCCAGCTGGCAGAGAAACAAGGGAGAATTTAGGCTGCGCAGAATCTCGCACGAGAGGATCTTCCCTTTGAGCTGCAGGGCTGATTTCCAGCGGGGACAGATGGACTCACGCTAGCTCAGGCCCAGTTAGTGCACTAAAACCAGCAGTGCAGCCTCCATGGCGGGGCAGAGCAGCTCCCTGCACACGTGCGGAGGGTCTGAGATAGGACTGTGCTCAGGGCGGCTAGCCCAGTCTGCCGCTCACAGCAACACTTGAAATCCCACTCGCTTGGCCAGGGCTAATGCACAGACGTCTGACAGCTGCCAACGTCATGGGCCGCGTGACGCATCCGCTTTGGGGGTGGGGAAGAGACAGCAGCATAGGATAGAGTCAGAACTGGCCCAGCCCCAGGGTACTAGCCTCGTTTCAGAGGCCACCTGCAGTTCTGCATGCGCATGGAGGCCTAGAAAGCAGAAGCCAAGTAACGCTGGCGGGGAGGTTATGAGCAGGGCTTGACTTACAAACGCAGGGGAGCAAAACGAATGCACTAGCAACCAAGCAGGCTTCACCTGGAGGTCACATTCTAGAGCCTATTCTACATCTAGGGCAGTGGTCACCAACCGGGCCGTCACTGGTCGACCAGGGGGGAGGGGGAGGGGGAGGTATTCCAGTAGAAGCCAAGTAACGCTGGCGGGGAGGTTATGAGCAGGGCTTGACTTACAAACGCAGGGGAGCAAAACGAATGCACTAGCAACCAAGCAGGCTTCACCTGGAGGTCACATTCTAGAGCCTATTCTACATCTAGGGCAGTGGTCACCAACCGGGCCGTCACTGGTCGACCAGGGGGGAGGGGGAGGGGGAGGTATTCCAGTCACTCGCGATAGGCAGGCTCCCCACCCGCCACGGCGCATTGGCCGGGGGCCGGG